GAAAGCGTTTCTGTTCTTAATTATTTCCTTCTTGGTTTTAGTGTCCTTTCAAAACCTGAACCAACAGTCCTCTGGAGACAACGTGGCCATAGCAGGCCGTGCCATCAGCACCCCAGAGCGTGAGTACAACCCAGGGAGCCCTTCCCAAACTGGGCTGAGCACTCCTCCTCTGAGAGAGGTGTCAGTGCAGAGCTCCCCTAAAGGGCTGAGAAAACCAGCCATCGATAGCTGTAGATTATTTGTTTATCTAAGGGGTTGTAGTAAAGAAGAACCATTCTGAAACTGGTGGTTTCAGCTGAATGGTGTCCATGGGAAAGGACAGTCCAATAGTCCCCATGTGCATGTCACAGGGTGTCAGAGCATTGGGTCAGGGCAGGAGAGAATTTATTTTGGGATGCTGAAGTAACAGAGCCACTGCCCTTTCTTCCTTCATCGACTCTGGGGTGCTGAGGAGGAATGTTGTTGTGGTTCCTTACCAGCACTGCCCAAAGTGTGCAAGACTGCACAATTGCTCTCCTTGGCTCTGGAAGCAGAGCTGAGTATTTTTAGGCTGAATTACAGGACCTGCTGCAGAGGGAAATCCTCAAGGTCTGGCTCTCTTCAGGGGTTCCTGTTGTCCAAACAGGATCTGGGGGGAGCTACAACCTGCTTCTGGAGCAGGCAGTGGGTGAGACAAGTGCAGGAGAACACAGAGATCTGCCCAAAGGGATTAACAACCTGCACAGTAATTAAGTGTGTGTGTTCCACACTGAGAGAGAACTGAGCTGAGCACTGGAGAAGGAATGATTTGGTTTTCTTACTGCTGTGAAATGAAAGTAAAAATACACAGAGAGGAATCTGATGGACAAATTGGGATTGTCTGCTGTGCTTATGTCCAGCTGAACTGCCTTCTCACAGGACCTGACCATCCAAAGGCAGGTTTTGTTGGAATGCTTTCTGACAGCCCTGCAAGCACAAGAGGCAGTTATAGTAAAACACAAATGGAGCTGAGTTCCAGCAGGAGATTCCCTTCCTTGCTGTCAGTTTTAGGGCATCTCTGCTGTAGTGTGAGCTGTGTGATGAACACCCTCACGTGCTCTGGGGAGAGCTCCACATGAGCTGGGTGTGTGACAGGCCAGCTCTCACTGGGCTTTGGGGGTTGCTGTGGGGAGGGTCTGGCATTCCCAGACAGAGCTGTCTGAGCTGTCTCTGCCTGTGTCTGCAACCCCCTGCCCTGCACACACACAGCAGAGCAGACATGGAGCCAATAAGGCAGGCTGGGAGTACCTGACAGCCGTGAGTGGGCAGGAGCGAACCAGTGGTGTGCATCCACTGGAAAATCTGATCCTGCTCTTCCCTCTGTGCTCAGAGTTGTCTGCCCCGATGTTTCTCTTTGCCTGAGCAACAAGCAATGATCTTTGTGCAAAAAAAAAAAAAAAAAAAACACCAAAAAACTTGGGGATGTGTTTTTTAGAGAGCAGAATTCTTCAAGCACCACGTCCCTGGAAGCCTGTGTGGCTGTTTCTCTTAAGCACCATATGGTGAAAAAAAAGAGGAGAAATGTTAATCTGCAGTGGTACTAGGGCTGAATTCCTGCTTTGCTTGGAGGCAGCATGTGTCCTTCAGCAGGGAGACAAACTGTACAGAGCAGGATCATCACTTCAGTTGGCGTGTGTTGAGCCATCTGTATGGTGGCGCTGGGTCTCGCAGGCTGGGAGACAATCAGAATAAAACATGTTCATTACTCTGGTAGATCATTCTAAAAGTATTGGACATGGAGTTCTTTGTAAACACTTTTGTGCTGGAGAAGTTGGGAGCAGCTGTCCCTCCTCTTTGCCTTACTCAGCTGTTCTGGCTGTTTCTCTCTTCCCTTCTGTCTTTGGGACTCAACTCCTGCCTGTTACTTTGAGAATGGCTTAAGTGGGTCTGGGTGAGTGGGTATTGCACAAAAAGGTGTTGTGAAGATACCACCTTCCCATACTGCATGGGAAGCCCTGCTTGATACTTCTTTGCCCCCCTCTTTCTTTGCCTCCCCTTTCTTTGCCCCCCATAACTGTCTCATTACCAAGGTAAATTGTTCAGGCACACACTGCACAAAGTCAGGACACTGACACAGACCATTCCTGAGAGATGCAGAGAAGAGCTAAGGCAGATGGATCAAGTTGGATTTCCACTCTAAGCTTCAGTGATTCCCTGCCAGGACAGGGCAGGAGTTAAAGAGCAAACCCAGTTAAAGCTGTAAAGAGAAGTCCTTTTAGCTGAGTTTTCAACTCCTGCCCTATGAAGCACTTCCTACCTTAATTCCTTGTGAAAGGTTCTGGGAAACATGAGCATAAAACAGAGCGTTGAGTTAAGTAAAATCTGAATATTGTGACATCTCTCCTGAGATAAATGACAGGAAAGAGACAGCTGACAACTAGGGCCTATTCAGGCAAGCTAAATTCTACCCAGCTCCCTTGTCAAGTGATTCCTCTTGTCTGGCTGCAGGCAGCTCCTCATGGAACATGCTCAGGTCCTTTGGCTGTTTCCAGGGGCCCCAAATTCTGCCTTGACCAGGCAGAGCAACTGGTGTGGGTCGAACATGTTGCTGTGAAAGATGGCAAAGCTTCAGTGGGAGGTGTGGCTCTCCCTCCAGGGCAGGACAAGGAGGCACACCATCCCGTATTTAAGGAATTTCCTCCTCCCAGGAAAGCTGGAGTGTGAAGCTGATGTGCATCAGTGGCCCATCAGACTCAACACAGAGGCTGGATGGGAGACACTGAGGTCTGATGGGCTGAAAATAGATATATAATATCTATATATATATATATATAGGTATGAAATAGATATATAGGTATGAAATAGATATATAATATATAGGTATAAAATAGATATAAATCTGTATGTGTGTGTTTGTGTGTGTGTTTGCAATTAACTGGATTTACTTACTCGGTGACACTTAAGGTTTCCACAGCAGCATGCCTTGCCCTCTGGCTGTGTCACAAGCTGACTGTTAATATGTTCTTGCCTTTTTTCTTATTTTTCCAGAGACCATTAATGACCTGACTTTTGGGGCTGGGGTCAGTCGCATCAGCTTGACACACACACCTGATTCAGCTCCAGGCAAGTCATCTCTGGGATTCCAACTTGAGGGAAGAGGGGAGGGGGGAAGAAACACCAAATGATCAAATCTGTGGTATTTTTTAAAATATGAAAATGTGTTCTTTGCAGAGAGCAAAGAGGATGAGGATAAGCCGACTGATATTATCTGTTTGACATCGCCGGAGAAACTGTAAGTTCGGCACAGAAATTGCAGGGAGAAAGGCTGGAAGTAAAGGCTTGGAAATAAATGGTGGTTCTGCTTCCTTCTTCCAGCCCATCCCGGCCTCGGGAGTGGAAAGTGGAATCCCCAGCCAGGAGAAGGAGCAGCCAGCACGTCCCTCTGCGCCGCTCCCAGCGCAGACCCCCCCGGAAAGCGAACAACTGAGCCTTTCACTGGGCCTGTGCACAGCATCACCACGTGCCTGAAGCCTTCCCCCCTGCAATTATAAACTGGGAACACATGTCCTTCCTTATCTATCTATTCTTAGCTGGCTTTTCCACAGAACTGCCCAGAATACGGGCAGACAAAGCCTGCATTAGCACATGTATGGATTATAAGCTGCTGCTCCTGACACAGCTCACTGGAGGGCTGGAAAGCTGCAGCATAAAGGGGGGTTTGCTCTTCACTCTCAGGATGTATAATTTGTCCATTTGAAAAAGTGAGGGCACAGTGTTGCTGCAATAAAATGCACTTATCACAGCTTGCTGGGCAGTGAGTGGCTGGGCTTATTCACCCGATCCCTCACGGTCCCTCTTGGTTATATAATAGTTACTTTAATTTGATGAAAAGGTAAAACAGCTTGTCACTGCCACACCCCTAAATCTGGTAATTGCACGCTACATCACCTCTTATTTGTTGTGCAAACTCCTGTGTGTATGAACAGCCTTAATGCTCTTTTTATATGGAATATTTCCATTCCTGAACTATGTTATTTCCAACTATTACCATTTGATGAAAATAAATGGTTACAGAATTAATTCCGCCCACGCCGTCTCCCCTCTTGTTGAGCTGACAGAGAAATGATTTATTTTTTTTTCTATAGATTTCTACAGCCTCTTAAGTCTCTTCTACCACATCATTGGTATCTTGGGCCCTCAGTTCAATTAATAATGTTGGACCCAGCAGCTTTTAAATAAAGACTCTGATTTATCTGCAAGCAGGGCATGACTCAAATCATGGTGGGTAAGTCAGAGCTGAGTGCCCTGTGCAGGTAACTTATAAATGTGCTGTGACCACACTGGAATCTGACCATTCCCGAGTCTCCCTGATGCCACACTGAAGTTTTTCTGTGGTTACCTTCTATTGCAGAGCTCAAGCCCTGGATTTCATTGGAACTTGAGACTGGGATCTGTTTTATTCATGCTGGTTTGTCTTACTCAGGCTTTGCTGCACGAGTGGAAACGGGGGCACTTCTCTCCTGTCCTGGAATCCCATCATTTGCCCTCACTTTCCCTACTCTGTTTTGGAGATCAGAGAAATCTCCCAGTGAGGTTAAACTTTATTCCCAAAGTCAAAACCTGGGAACAGAGGATGTATGGAATAGCCCTGGCTTAAGTGATGGTCAATTATGGCCACATCCATTTATTCCCTACCTTTTCTCCTGCCTTAATTTATCATTTAACCACTCTGAATGGTAAATTTGGATAGTTTATTTCCTACTTTGTGCTTCTGTTGTTTTTGTTCTGTCCTCAAGCAGTGTTTGAGATGTGCCCTGTGTGCATTAATGAGTCTTCTCTAGGAAAGAACTAGGAATACACAAATGTCCAAGAAAAAACTGATTAACAGCAACATACCTTGGACTTTGTCACCTTCATCCCAATACAAATAAGTGCATGCTCTGACAGGAGAGACTTCCCCTTATTTCACTGAATTGAAAACAGAAACATAATCTGGCTGTTTAAAAACCACAACCAAACCCAAACAAAAACCCCTACAAGAATGCTTCATAGCTTGGTATTTATGTAAAACATTCTTGGCAAAGTTAAACGTAATACATTAGTACAAACCTGAATATTATTCACAACAATACAATGAATTCCATCCATCAGCTCCCACGAGCTGTATGGGGAGGGGGACCACCTCCCCTTCTCTCGTTAGAGATGCCACTGTGCATTTTAGAACTGAAAATAATGGAAGGTTTGATTCTTAGCTTTGCTGGTTTTTCACAGGAAGGCTGCCTGGTGAGACTGGGGATTGTGCTCCCATAGTGCCCAGAGCTACCCTGATCCATCCCTTTCCTCTCTCTCCCTTATTACAGGTATCCTTGCAGCAGCACAGAGAAGGAGCAGTGGATATCCAGAGGGTGCAAAGGAATGTCAGAATGATTAGAGGCAGCAATCAGGACTGGCTGGCTTGGCTGAAGAGCTTGTCTTAAGAAGGAAACCAGAGTATGGTTGCAAAAGAGCAGTGGTAATGCCTGAATTACACAGAGAACATCTGGTTATTGCTGCCCCATCCTTACTTTTACTTTCATCAGCAGAAGGACAAGTGGAAATGCTTTGTTTAGGCAAAACAAATGCAGCAATGGCATGTCCAGCGAGGGCCTTAGGAAACAAAGCAGAGTAATGCAGAACACTAAAAAATAACACTGACAGTCCAAATCGTCAAGTATCCAAAATACTGTATACAGGAAAAGTTAAGACAACTCAATTTATATTGCAAATACAAGAACACTAAATTATGCTACATTAAAAAACTTCTTAAACCACAGCACAGTTCTAGTGTTGCATCCACATCTTGTATCACCCATTGTCGTTCAACACCACCAACGTGGGTGTCTTCATGTGTTTCCAGCTATTCTCTCTCAAGCCAAAAAGAACCAAATTAATTTTTTTTTTTTTTTTCTTTTACCACCTAGAGAAAAGTTTCAACTGACACCATGAAAGTGCTTTTGTGTCGTGCTTTTGCTTTCCCAACTCCAGAAACAGTGGCCTTGGCCGTGTAGTTTTAAACCTGTCGGGTTGCTGTAGCTGTCACACTGTGTTAGTGCTTTAGGGAACTTGCAGAGGGGCAGCAAACATTGAAGTCACTCTGTCACCTCGTTGGAACTGAATCCAAAATAGCCATCCCTGGATATTTCTTGCAACAACAAAAACAAAGTGTTGGTCACTGGCAAGAGAAGTTTTCTGTATAAAAAAAAAAAAGTTGATAGCTCCTGCCGTAAATTTACAAAAACTATCCCTGAGTGACTCTGTTCTGTGTCTGGTAAGACCTCTTGTGACAAGGAAATGGCTGAAGCTGGTTTAAGAGGAAAGAGATGCTGTTCCACCTGCAGATTTTTAATACAGTTTGCACTAATACTGATATGCTCTGACAGTGCCATATTATAGCAACAGTTGAGCTCCTCTCTGTAGCTTCAACAGTAAAAAAATAGCTCCATTACTGAAACACTGCTGGCATCACGTATTTACACTTTAAATAGAAATGTTACCTTTTTCTGAAGTAATCAAAATAGATCTTTGCAAAAAATTTAGAACGTGGGGTTCTACAAAAGAAACGGAGAAGGTAAAAAAAGCTGGAAGATATCTCAGTACCTTTTATGGCAATCTCAGCCTAGGAAAAGTATTTGGCTTTAATTTTCCTGAAAGGGATGTCTTAGCACTCGTTCTGTGCCTCCCCTCTAAGCCTCTTTCAGCACGGAAAGACTCAGGAGGCAAGTCTGCTTTGTGCAGATTAGATGGAGGGGTTACCTGCGTGCAGTGAGTTCTCTACAAAGCAGGGAACAGAAGCAATCCTGGCCTGGTGGGTCATCATGTTAAACAACAAGAATTAGGTTTACACAGGGGCTGAGAACATTAGTGGTGTTCGCTGTCGGCTGTTCAGAGACACCCCCCTGCTCCTGAGCAGTCAGAGTCGAGCACAGGACAATCTTTTACACACAAATGTGTAGAAGTCACCAGCCAGGCCTGGGCAATGAGCTGCTGGGAGGAAGACCCCCCCCCTTGCATGGATAAGTCTCACTCTTTGAAGTCCATCTACTCCTGTATCAGCACCTTTTTTTTGTCTACTAGTAACACGTACTAGCAATGTCTACTACACGTTTACCTAATGCTGTCCCCCTGGGTGGTTTGCACATTGTGGCCGTGTCCCTGCAGCACAAATAGAAGGCAATGCCACAAACTTCCACAGCCCAGTCTCTTGGGAAGTATTAAAACACTTCCTTAGTCCAAGGGCAGGTTTAGGTGATCCTGTTGGTATCTCCGGAGGCAGGGGAGACGCGAGTTGGGCAGTGAGGAGTTACTTTAAACTTTGGCAAAGAAAAAAAAGATATACAGATAGCTAGCTATCGAGTTCTTGTGTGTTCCAAACTCTTCCAAGCGCACTTAATTAATCTTTTGCTCTTGCTTTGAGTTCCTGGAGGAGGTATTTTCACACTTGCTTTTGCTGGTTTTGCAGTATTCTTTTGGTGTCCTATATGACGAACGAAGACTTGTGTCTGAAGTCGCCCTGCAACGAAACAGTTTGGGGTGGAGGAAGGATTTAGGAGCTTTCCAGGCAACTTGTCATTCCTGCTGCCCCCAAAAAAGTAGATCCAAAGTGTTTATAAATAAGAGTGCTTTTAGGGAGCCCCATCTTCCAGCTGGGAAGGAGAGGGAGGCACCAGTTGCACTGGTGAGTTGCTGCCTCCTCCTCCTGTCCTCACACAGCAAGGCATGGCAGGGGACTTTCCCATTCCCTCATCAGTATCTCTGCTAATGGGAGAGGCTATTTCTGGTCTTAAGCTTTAGTGATCTACTCAAATCCCAAAATACAAGTTCTCTCGTAAAAAGCATCATGTCCTGCCCACTTAATCCAATGAAACTCATCCCCAGGGGGTCAGGCCACGAGATAACTCAGAGCAGAGCTGCCTCTGATAGCTCCTGGCATCAGTCACTTCAAGCAACTTAAACTGTTCATCATTTCCAAGGAAATGACTCAGCCCTCACCCTTCTGTTTTCCCTGTGTTCTCCAGCCTTGTTTCGGAGTGGAGCCCACTCTGAGAAAGTCTGTGGGCCCCAAAAAAGCGAGTTGTCCTCTGCCCACCCTCCTCCTCTCCTTTTAACAGAGAGATGTTAAATGCAAATCATTTGTTACCTCATCATCTGTCCGGATATAATTAACGCCATCAGGTTTTGCTGGAGTCTTGTAGCTGAAATAAAGGGGGAAAAAAAAAAAATCTGATTTCTGGGACAGGAAGACTGCAGGATTTTGGAGGGGAGGTGCTGAGAAAGATGGAAATGAGGAGGAGCAGCTGAATGAAAAGCAAGCAGAGAGAAACCCAGTTTGTTTCTCAAATGAGGGGTCTGTGTTTATTCCATCATTTGCCATGACTGGGATTTTTTCTATTTCCCCTTCAGCACAGGGTAAAAAAAAGATTGCTGCCTGTTTCCACAGGACTCTGCAAAGAGATTAACTGGTTCTTTTCTGGGCTCTCCTGCTCTGGTCCCTGTCACTACCTCTCTGTGCCTCCTGCACTGTTTCCTGTGACAATTATAAAGTTCATTTCAATCCTTCACTGCCAGATGCCTTCAGCATTTTTCTTAGTTATAAGGAAGCACCACTTGTTTGCAATCCCACAGGAATTCAGGATTTATATACGACTGTCAGGTCCAGTGGATGCCAACCCTCAGCTGCATTTAAATAGGGTATTTGGAGCTTTCTCTGAAAAACAAACCAAACCAGAGAGGGAAAAAAAAAAAAAAAAGACAGGGCTTGTGCTGAAAAGCAACATATAGCACAGAACAAATCTATCTGGTGAGAATGTTGGGTTTACATATATTATCTCTTCCACAGACTCTGTAAGGACATCGAGGCTTGTCTCTGATGCTATTGCTGTTGTTTTTAACATTTTAATGTGTGCTGTAAAGTGGTTGTTTTTCACCCCAAATTTAGGTTCTCACAACTAGTGAGATTTCCTGTGGAGAGCCTACTCTGCTGCATACATTCCCTATGCATGTCCTGATGCTTCCAACTAATTGTGCAGCGAGCTCTGATCATCAAACTGAAGACCTCATTATGCCAGCAGCACATGATCTATTGGAAAAACACCTGTAGGCTTTTAATTGTGCTGGTCCCCCCCCTTCCCATGCAAATTATGAGGATATTAGAGCACAGCTTTCATCCTCTGGCTGGTCTTAGCAGCAAGCACAAGAGCAGCCACACCAAAATTCTCCCTTAAGTGAATACTGTCCACCCGTGGAAGTGTTCAAGGGCAGGTTGGCTGGAGCTCTGAGCAACCTGGTGTAGTGGAAGGTGTCCCTGTCCATGACAGGGTGCTGGAACTAGATGATTTTTAAGGTCCTTTCCAACCCAAACCATTCTGTGATGATTCTGTAAGATAAACCTGGATGGTGCAGGGTTTACAGCAGGGAATCAGATGCCTCAAGGACTGGGTTGGCCTGTAGGCTTTGGTAGGGAATTGGGAAGATATATATCCAA